TTAGCTTCTGAATTGCACGGGACCAGGAGTGACTGGACCCGAGTGTGAGCTGGAAATCACAGGTTGTGGCTTGTCCTTGATTACCCCAGCCAGTGGCTCTAGAGCCACTGTGGATGGGCATGTAGGCTTGTTTCCTCCAAGTGTGCCATAGTAGATGAGATCATCTATGTGCAATTTATTTGAATTATAAAACAAAGTAAGAAAGTAAAATGCCTAACTGGCTCCTGCTCTCCTGGTCTTGCTTCAGGAGAGAGGACTTTGAGGTCGTACGACACCCCAAAGCCTGGGGCAGTTGCAGGTTCCTGGTCTGGAACCACTGAATGCTGCCCTGGTCACTGAACAGGTGTGGTGATTGATATCTGGGTGGAACTGGGGTCTCCGGGGGCCTCCTTAAGTCTGGGAGAAAAAAGAAGCCGTGGCTATCTCACCAGTTCCTCAACTTTTAGAATTCTAAAGACAGAAAGAAAGAGAGGGACAGGGAGAGAAAGAGAAGGAGAGGGAGAGGGAGAGAGGGAGGGACAGACGGAGAGAGGGAGGGAGAGGGCAAGAGGGAGAGCAGCGCCCTTGCTGGCTCCTTCTTCTTATTCTGTCCCATCCGTAGAAGGGATGGTTAGATGCCCTGCCCCCTTCTCTTTTTGCAGGTGGCAGTTTCTCATTAAAAGAAGCTGAGCAAATTTGCTTTATTGCAGCAAAGGTCACATAGTTCCCAATTTTAAATTGCTCGATGAATTGGGGCAGTGGGGGCTATTAAACGTTGTTAGACTCTCAACTAACTGGCAAATTGTTACCTTGGAATGCTGTTTACCTATCTTATTGAAGTCGATATGTCCAACATGGAGAATTGCTAACAGGTCTTATTTTTGCAGTTCCTGCCCACCACGGCTTTAAGAATACCCTTCAGCCAGGAGGGAGCTCCATTGCTTTAAGACTCACCTGGTAAGGAACTTCATCATTTTGTAATTCGCTGAAATGGTGTCTGTCTGTGAGTTTGTGTGTGGGGAGCCCAGCTGCCCTCTTTGGATTGCAGACCCCAGTGTTGGATAAGAGCTCCCGCAGCTCCTCTCTGGACTGAGAGGGGCTACGGAAAAGGTTCCAGATTCACAGATCTCTCTAATCCAGTGTATGTCCCGGGTCTTCTGGGTGGGATGAATGTGTGATGTCAAGACCTGCTCAGGAAGTCTCAGAATGGGGTCACAGATGGGACAAAGCCCTGGGAGGTTAGCTTCTTTCTTTCTGTATGACTTCCTCAAGAGTTACCATCCACCAGCTGTCAGCGGGAATGCGAGCCGGTGAGCAGGTGGGGCTGCTGCCCAAGGACAGGTGGCCCAGTCCATTCACCCATGGTCTATTTGGCCCATACTCTCCAGTGGTTCTATGGCTTTGCCCCGTCTTGGAGGAAACTTGCCTCAGAACAGCTCCATATTTGTCATCTCAATCAGACTCAAAATCACAAGCTCATTAACAGAGTGTTTCCTTGGCATCAAAGCTGATAAAAACTTAAAACATCAGTAAAAGGGCAGAGCTTGTATTTGATGTTTGCAATCCCCTTGTCTGCACTGACCCTGATCTCTCTGTAAACTCACCCTTGGATCTAATTAGCCAAACCCACCTTCTCCTGACCATGGGCCTCAGAGGTCCCTGCATACACCAGGGAAATTGATAGTGGAATTATATACCCAGAAATTAATTTTATATTCTACTGAATATATATATTTTTATTGTGACTTTATCTTGTTGGAAAAGTGCTTACTTCTGATTTTGTGGATATTACTGACCATGGATTACTTTTATTTTGGTTTTTACACAACAGTTATATTAGAAATTTGCTGTTTTATTCTTACCTTCTTAGTAAAAATCCTTTTATCACACAATGGGTAATTTATATCCATTACCAGGCCTTTCAATCCTTTTCAGTGGGGCTGTCAGCGCCGTTGGCACAGTAATGATTAATGTGATCTAATAATAGTGTGCCATTATATTACCTTAGTAAAACATGTACCAACATCCTATTCGGATCTACCAAATTCATAGCTTCCTATAATATTTTTGTTGAAAGACAGGATTACTATTTTTCAAGGCTGATTTTTTCCCCTTTAACATATTTAATGAAATTCACAATTCTTTGCCTTAGTAATCGGGCATGTGATTTGGGCTTGGTGGGTGAATTTGACATCCATAGGTACTGCTGTGATTTGTCAGGGAGAGGTTGGACGGTCCCAGGGATCTGCCAGAGAGATTATTGTGTTTTTGTTGGGCCTGGGTTGTTTTGCCTTGAAGAAAAAAATTGCTAGTTTTCCAGTCCCTTCTGACACATAATAAGGAAGGTGTGCTTTAGATCAAAAGGCAAATGAGTAAGTAATTTGGCTCAAAGACTCCTTTCTTCCCTCTCCTGTTTTATTCTTTCCCTGTCACTTGCTTGGGTCTGCTGGCGAGCAGGAGAGGGAGCTCAGCCGGAGGAGGCGACCTCAGGCCTCTGTCCTGCAACTGCTCCTTCCTCTCCCATCCTTTCTCCCTCTGGCTTCCGCTCAGCCTCTCTGGATGCTAAGGTGGGGTTTCTCGCTTGGAACTACTGACATTTGGGGCTGGGCAGGTCTTTGCTCTGGGGTCTGTCTGGGCTCTGTAGGCTGGTCAGCACCCTCACCCCCAGCCCTGACCCATGGGATGCTGGTTGTATACCCTCTCCCTCCGCCGTGACAGCCAGTATGTTTCCCGAAATTCCCAAATGTCCCCTGAGGAGCACAGTCATCCTGTCTGAGAACCACTGGTCTGATGTGGTAGGAGCATAAGCAGATTGTTGGGGGTCTGGGGGAGTTCTCCTTGGGAGTTCCAGAGTTTCGTGGTGCTCCTTGCGACACCTTCAACTTTGGGAGAGAAGATGTGTGGATGATGGCTACACGCCGCTTCCTTTTCCTGACTGGAATACAGCCTCTTACTTTTTTCTTCTCCCTGTTCTGTCATAGAGCCTGGTCTGAGTGAGGGCCTGAATCTTAGCTTCTTCCACCTAAATCCCATTATAATCGTACCCATGATCGATAACATTCCACCTTTTCAAAGGGCTTTAAAATCTGTGTCAACCAAGGATGACACTATTGTATTGCAGGCAAGATGTATTCAAACAATTACACATTCAAATCAAAGTGGTAAGGCTTGTCCTGCTATTCTGGCATGAGCCTCAGCCCCAGCCCCAGAAACCTTCCAGAAACCTTCCGGATTTTCCCTTGATCCCACTCAGCTCTGAAAGCAGCTTAGATATCTGGGCTTCTTAGGGCTAGAGGATGGGGGACGAAGGACAGGTGTTGGGCACAGGGGTGGAGAGAGAGAGATGAGGAGGGAGAGAGAGAGAGGGATATCCTTGTTTTTGATTCCGAACAAAAATTACTGCTTGCAACATTGGTTTGAAATATGCAATCAACTGAAATCAGGAAAAGTATTTTGAATGCAAAATTTATATTGAAATACTTGAATCTTGATACGTGTGCACCCACATACATGTATATATTTAAATCAAAGAAGAGAAGAAATAAAGGTTTTTGTCACAAAAATATTATTGCCTATAGTATTTGCCTGCAAATTATTCTGCCACATCAGAACACATTTTTGTACTGTTAGCATTTCCATAGAAGACACTCTTGTTTGTTTTTACAACAGATCCTTGATGATAACAATGAATGAGGAAATGGCTCTGACTTACCTTTGTGTTAAGAGGATTTCAAGTACATTGCGATGTTTGGAGCAGTGAGCATTTTGGCAACACACTCCTTTGCTGGTTTCTGGTCTGTCTCTCCTAGTACAGTGTAAACTTGGTGAGAGAAGGGCCCTGTGTATTTTGTGTTATTTTCCTAATTGTGCCTGATCCATACATGGTTCTCAAGAAAACTTTGGCAGCTGGAAAGATGGGTGGGTGGATGGCTAGATGGATAGATGGATGAATGGGTGTGTGGGTGGATGGATGAGTAAATGGATGTATTGATGGCTAGCTGGGTAGATGACAGGATGGCTGGCTGGCTGGATAGATGGATGAATGGGTGGATGGATAAATGGATTGGTGGATGGATGGAACTCATCTCAAACTCAAATAGAACCTTAGAATAGTAGGCCTGGTGGTCCAAATGAAATCTCACTTTTTACCATCTCTTCACCCCTTGCCCTCCCAAACATTCTTTTTTACATAAAAATGGCAAGTTATAGAAAGAAAGACATTCTCATTATCTGGTCTTTTTAATCCTTTTTTAAAATAAAAAAAGAATAATGCCTAGGACTGTGCCTAGCAATCTCTGTAAGCTGAATTACATGGGTGTCTTATTGTACAAATATCTTTAAAAATCTACAAGGGCACATGCACAGGTGACTGGAGCTGAAGACACGAGGCAAAGTGAGGGAAGGTGACCTCTTTCCAAGTGAGACATGGGCAAAGAGTTTATGAGGCTCAGAAGACTTCCTGTCCAGATGACTGGTTGTCTGTCTCCTGGGCAAGACTCTGTAATTTATAGTGTGTTTCATGATCTTGTAGAGGCTCTTGTGTGTCCTCCTCAGACTTGCCATGCTTGGGCTCTGTGGGACTGGTTGATGCTCAGCCATGTGGGATCAGCCATTTGAGGAGACAGACTGCGGCTCTGGGTGGTGGGGTTCCCACATCCAGCATAGTGGGTACCTGTCTATTGGAAAACTTATTTCCAGTCATGAGGAGAAAAAGACACCCCATCCTTGACTTTTAAATTATTGTTCAATGGCCAGCATGGCAGTATCAGTAAGAAAACAATGAAGAGAGAGATAAATGACCACTAAACCTGGCAACCCATAACAAAGGAATGGGCTCTGGAACCAGATTTCCTGGGTTGGAACCCTGGCTGCCCTGCTTGCTGGCTGTATGACCAGGTGTGAAGGGCTCAGCCTTGTTGTGCCACAGTTTTCTCACCTGTAAATCAGGAATGACAGTAGGGACAAGGTAGCAGACCCCACAAATAATCTGTGTGATGTGCTTAAACTGGTGCTGGCTCAGAGTAGGTGTTTAATAAATGTGTGTTGCTGTTATTTACATTTTCTCCATTTACTTATCTTTGTCCCTTTCTCCCTCTTTATTCAAGATAAAGGAAAGTATAGACCATTTTCAGATAATTACCTTTTCTCCTCAGACTCTTATCAGAGCTAGGAACCCCATGATGTGGCCAAGCATGTAGTGTCCCGACACCCCTGGGGACTGTGGTTAGCAAGTTCAGAGCCCGAGTCAGAAAGGGTTGTGAGTTTCCTAAGTCAGCTTCCCCATCCCCTTTCCTTTGTGAAGGAGCATTGTTGACAACCATTGGGGTTTGGGACTTACTTGGGGCTTGGGGACTGCATTCCTGGGATGCGTGTCATGTGGTCAGGTTGGGTGGGAACAGCCAGCTCTTAAAAGGGATGGGGGTCCATGGCTTTTCTCTCCCAGCCCCTTGCCAGTAAGACTGCACCACATCATGCCCCAAATTTATATTTTTAGCACCCACTGAAATTTAATGTTTTGCTTTTGGTTTATTATATATGCAAGTATCTTGCTGATAAATACATGTATAATTGTACTATCATAACCACTGCTAGTCAGTGACAACATATAATTAAACTCACCCTTGTAGTCATTGAACTTTTCTATTCCTGACAAGATCATTGACCACTCTAAGGAGGGTGTGTGTCCATGCCTTGCTGCATGGCCTCATCCTCCTCGTCCCGCCACAGGGCGCCCAGCGCACCCCAGGGCATGTCCACACACATGCATGGGTAGACTTCCTTACACAGCAGTGTGCAGGATGGGAGGGCAGGGCTGCAGGACCTGGGGGTGCCCCTCTCTCTGTGCGTCTATGCCCCGATGATTATTGACCCCAGAGGGCATGCTTGGTAAAGACTGGAATGAATAAATCTTATAATCTCCTCATTTGACCCTGAGCCCTCTTTTTACACAAAACCCT